GGGGGGCCTTGTGCCGGCCCCCCGACTCTCCCATGGTGGGCTTCCCTCTGGGCCTCCTGCCAGGGACAAGGGCAGCTGGCCGGGCAGCTGTGGCCATAGTGTTTCCTGGGCGGGGCCTGAGGCTGCGGTGGGGGGGGGCTTTGCTCTAAGAGCCCCTGTTTCCCGGGAGGAGGTTGAGGCAGAGTCAGGGATGCCCTCAAGGTCGCCATCGCCTCCCGCTGCCCCCTCCACCACGGACTGCCACGCCCCCGATGGCAGGGCATCCGAGGGAATCGGCCGGGAGGATGCCAGGCAGGAGGTTCTCAATGGGCGTGTCTGTTGTCTGAAGTTTATGTGAATATCTAGACGTGCGTGTCCATGGATCTGCACCCATGTGTGTGCACATATGTGTCTGTGCGCGCGCACACACATTTGGGGCGTCTGTACACATACGTGTGTTTGTGCATACATGTGTCCGCATGTGCACGTATACAAACACACGCACGTATACAGGTGCTTCTGCACACCTGCCCGTGCGCACGTTTGCACACATGTGTTTACATGTGCATGTGTGTGCGTGCGTGCATGCTGTCCTCTTCCGTGCTAGTGATGGCAGGTGGGAGGCGTGCTGCCCTGATGCTTTTCCCCGGGACCATGCCCTTCCTAACTCTCAGTCCTCTCATCTGTGAAATGGGTGACAGAGGGTGCTCCCTAGACCGCTCCAGCCCAGGCAGCCAGGGGATGAGTCACACGGACATCACGTCGTGTAAAAGACTCAGGACATCACAAAAGTAATTAAGTCAGGCAAAGGCAAAACCATATCTGCTCTACAGGGATGCAGGGGACACTGTGCCCCTTGCAGTGGGGCTGGATGAGGAGCCCACTGGGCCGGCCTCGGCCGCAGGGAGGGACGGGGAGAGCCGTGGGCCGAGTGGAAAGGCTCCCTCGTGCCCTGGAGGTGAAAGGGCAGCTGCAGGACAGAATACTATGCACTTTGCTTTAAAACTACACAGAAAACATCGCACGCCTGTTTCCTGCTGTGAGGTTCGTCTCTGGTCGGATGGAAGGACCTGGGGACGGGCAGGAGGGAGACGGGGCCGCAGCCCTTTTATGCTCTCGGAGTTCTGAGCCCCACGAAGGTATGACCCAGGTTAGAGGGACACGTGTTTAAGGATGACCCCTAAGGATTTTTTAGAGGAGCCGTGGAAATGGCAGAGCCAGGACGTTCGTCCAGAGGGACCCGGTGGTGCCCACGCCCACGCCCATGCCACCCCAGGCATCGTGCTGGCTCTCAGGACAGCCCAGGAGCCGTCCTGCCCTCCTGAGTCTCTCTGGCCCCGTCCCTCCCGCGGGGCCGGGCGCCCACCTGCCCCAGGGTGCACTCCATGCCCCCCAGGA